TAAATGTTTTTTTTTTTTTTTAAAGGAAGGGGCTCTGAGGACGCTGGGGCCAATGACAGAGGCAGGTTGTCCTCGGCACCATGCCTGCATAGCCCTGTGCACTGTGGGCATTATGTAATGATGCCCCTTTATACCCTGGCTCAAGGCTCTCAGAGCTCAGGCCACACAGGAACTGCCCTAGGCCAGGGCCTGCTGGCCGGTGGCTCCCTTCACACGGCCCATGCCATCATCATCAACCCTGTGGTCCTGAGAGTGTTTGTCCACGTGCCTTACTGCCCTGTGGTTTCACGGCCGGAGTGCAGAGTGAAGGTGTGAGTGTGAGCGAGGAAGTGTAGTCTCCCAGGAGGAGGACAGACACAGCGTCGACTGGGGCTCTGCACAGAGGACTTGCCTCAGAATGATCACGCGCCATGCAGTAAACCACAAAATGGCTCCAGAGAGCTCCTGGGAGGTGCCTGTCCCGCGGCACGTCCTCCGCGTGGGTCTGCTGCCTGCACGACCCCAGCACCGGCGCACTCTCCGTCCTGACCCTCAGGTGGTAAATTAGCCTTCAGCTCAAGGCACCCAAGTGAGCGTTCCTCTCAGTTCTGCTTTCTGTGGCCTCTGGAGGTCCTATCACCTGGCCCGGGTCCCCCTTGGTGATGCACCCCTGCTACTCAGGAGAGGTGGGCAGAGCGCAACTGGCGAGTCAGGTGGCGTCAGAGTGGTCCCACCGTGAAAAGTCCGTTCCCATGACCATCAGCTGTCCCCGCGTTTCCCACGGTAACATTCTCTCCCCTGCGCTTTGTGAGCGTTGAGGAGTTGGGTAGCCAAGCTCGAGAAACGTCCTGCACATGGACAGGGTCAGCTCCTGGGCAGGCCAGAGGAGACTCAGCAGTGGAGAGCGACAGGTCTCCGTCCTCCACGTTTCACTTCTTCATGGACGCAGCGCAGCCGACCAGGGATTCCTCTCCAGGGAAAAGGCAGCAGGAATGTATTGAGGCTGTGAAGGAGGTCATGGGCGGCACCCACAGAGCCGAGGGACACGGCAGAGCTGGTTGTTAGCGTGTGTGCCTCTTCCAGGTCTCGTGAGATGTGACAGCGCGAGGTTGCCCTGACCGCAGGGTGCATCCACAGTTGCTTTGGAAACAAGGGTCCAGACAGTGGCAGGTGGGGGCCAAGCAGGCTGGGGTGCCCACTGTAGACGAGAGTCCACGTCTGGGTGAGATGATCCAGCCTCTTGGGGTGTGTCCACAGGACCCACTCTCCATGCCCCTGGCCAGTTCCACCTTCCTGTCTTTGAGGACTGGGTCTAAACATCAGCTTTGTCACTTAGGAGCCAAATGACTGAGGCCCTCGTCTCTAACCTGGTGGGGGAAACGTGGCTGTTATGGGGATTACATCTGTGCGAGCGTGGTTCAGTGCGTGGCCGTGGCATCAGGCAGGCCTGGCTGTGAGTGCCACCACTGGTGGCCAGTCATTAGCTAGGCCATGTAGGTGAGTTTCAGATGACTTCTCTGACGTTTCTCATATGTGAAAAGGAATTGATGGAACCTCCTCAAAAAACAGACGCCTGGAGCGGGGAAGTGCCGCGCCGTCCTGATCCTGTGTCGCCGACACGTGCCCGGCACGCCGTGGGAGTTGTGTTGCTCCCCTTCTGCCTCCCATCCCCCGTTTTCACATCCCAGACTTCTGGTCATTCTCCGTGGGCCAACGTCTGTACCGCCGCCCTGGAGAAGCCCTCCCTGACTGCCCCCCTCTGTGTTCCACACAGTGCATTGTCTGCACTAGGCCAGGGCCTACTGCACAGTGCATTGTCTGCCTGTCTCTCCCCATGGGACACTTCTTGAAGCACAAATCCTAGGACGTGACTCCGTGCCTGGCACACAGGAGGGATTTTGGTGAACGAGGGAGGGAGTGGGTGAATGAGCACGTAAATCCACAGGTGAATGGACTGAACTGCAGTCAGAGGAGGCCTGGGTTGAACAGGAGAGAGAGGTCTTCAGGCACAGATGTTTGGAGAATTTGAGTCGGAACGATCACGGAGCATGCAGACATATCCGTCTCTGCACGTTTGGACAGAGGGCCCACAGCTCTTGTTAGATTCTCAGAAGTGTCCGTGGCCCCTCAGGAGCCGGCGTGGTAGCATAGCAGATTAAACTGTCGCCTGTGACGCTGGCATCCCATGTGAGCACTGGTTCAAGTCCTGGCTGCTGCACTTCCCATCCAGTACCCTGCTAATGCACCCGGGAGGGAGGCCCAAGTGCCTGGGCCCCTGCCGCCTACTTAGGAGATGTGGGCAGGGTTTCATTCTCCTGACTTCAGCCTGGTTAAACTCTGGCTGTTGCAACCATATGGAAATGAACCAGTAGATGGAATGTCTGTCTGTCTGTCTGTCTCTCTCTCTCTCTGTTTCTCTGTGTATGTGTGTGTCTGTGTGTGTCCCTCTCTATCTAATTCTGCCTTTCAAATAAGTAAAATAAATTCATTTAAAAACAGATGAGGAACTTTCCCTGGCTCCCAAATTTCAACAAATTGCTGATCTTTCTTTCTTTCCTATTCTTTCTTTTTTTTTCTTAAGATTTATTTACTTACTTGAAAGTCCTTGTTACAGAGAGAGAAAACAAGATCATCCATCCACTGGTTCTCTCCCTAAGTGGCTCTAAAGGCCGGTAGTCCAGAACTCCATCCAAATCTCCCACACAGGCGCAGGGGCCCAAGCACTTGGGCCATCTTCCTCTGCCTCCCCAGGAACATTAGCAGGAAGCTGGGTGCAAAGTGGAACAGCCGGAACTCAGACCAGTGCTCGTATGGGATGATGGCATTGTAGGCGGCAGCTTGGCCTGCTCCTCCACAGTGCCAGCCCCCACGAGGTGCTGATCTAAACATACGGGGGCTGTGGCCTCACTGAGGACACAGAACCAAGTGACAGGAGGAGAGACGATAACGAGAGGAAAATCAGAACTGGTGGCACGTGTGGCTTGCAGGGACCTCTCGTGGGGGTGTGGTCAGTGCCTCTGTGCCCCGCCCAGACGGGACCTTCCACAAGGCCACTTTGGGGCAAAGGCACCCAGGGAAGGGGACTGTGTCTTTCACTGCCCAGTTCCTGTGCAGAGGCCCCACCTGAAGAGATCCCCTCTGCTCCACTGGGCCCAGGCACTCGCCGCCCTGCAGAGCAAGTCCAGGTGAACTCTGGGTGAGCACTGGGTCCTTCCCGCCCCCGAAGTCCCTTCCCTCCCACTTGCTCGTTATTTTATACTGGCCCGTCTTCGACTTTGAAAACTTGGGTTTTGGTTAATCACAGTGTTTCTCATAAATGCCTGTCGGTGAATTATGAAGTGGGTGTTGAGAATCATGCCCGGCTTAAAAGACCTCATGAGATAGCAGGTGACAGAAAGCGCAGGCAGGCATCCCCTTGTCACCCCTGGGCACTGGGCTGTGATGGGGACTTCCTGCCTGCGTGAGGGCATGGCGGCTGGAGAACATGGCTGTCCAGCACACTGAAGGCACTCACTGGAAGCTCGCTGAAGACCAGCCCTGGAGGGGGCTGGGGGAGGGCTGGAGCAGGGGGCTATACAGGGGTAGGGAACCTTTTTTCTGCCAAGAGCCATTTGGATATTTATAACATCATTGTGGGCCTTAGGCAATTATCAACTTAAAACGTGGCACGCTATAGATTTGTTGAGTTTTGAGTCCACTGGTGGTTACCTTGGCAGGGCCACAGCAGATTGTTCTGGGCCTTACACAGCCTGAGGGCTTGACATCCTCCAGTCCTGGGACACCCTCCTTCTTCTGTATAAATTCTTTCCTCTCATGGTTGGAGCACTTATGGCCTCTCCCTTGTGAACATGGTAGCTGACCCCAGATGTCCTATTGGATGGCCGACCCCAAGTGCATGTTTGTCTGGCTTGACAGGAACCTGATGCACCAGCCCCCAGCAGCCACCATTCTGTCCTTAGGGTCTGTAACTCTGACCCTTTGGGGACCTCATCAAAGTGGCTTCCTGCAGTCCAGGGGAACCTCTGTATCCACAGATTCTACAGGTGTGGATTCAAGAGGCATGGGCTAGAAATATTAAAATACGTGCAGCTGTGACTGTTCTGAATGTGTGGAGAATTCTGTCATTGTTGCCTGCGCAATACGGTGTCGCAACTCTTTCCAGGGCATTTATGCTGTACCAGGTACTGTAAGGAATCTGTACTGTAAGGTGTACAGCAGGGTGCCTGTAGGTTCTGTGCAGATACCAGGCCTGAGCGTCCTGGATCTTGGTGTCTGTACAGTCCTGCAGCCAGTCCCCAGCAGGTGCTGAGAAACAGCTGTAGTTACTGCAATTGCCATTCCGCACGTGTAGCTGCTGGTCTGTGCCTGTAGCTGCTATTCTGTGCCTGTAGCTGTCATTCTGTGCCTGTAGCTGTCAGTCTGTGCCTGTAGCTGCTGGTCTGTGCCTGTAGCTGCTGGTCTGTGCCTGTAGCTGCTATTCTGTGCCTGTAGCTGTCATTCTGTGCCTGTAGCTGCTGGTCTGTGCCTGTAGCTGGTGTTCTGTGCCTATAGCTGGTGTTCTGTGTGTGCAGCTGTCATTCTGTGCATAGTTTTAATTCTGTGCCTGTAACTGCTGTTCTGTGCCTGTAGCTATTGTTCTTTGGCTGTAGCTGCTGTTCTGTGCGTGTAGCTGTCAATTCTGTGCATGTAGTTTTCATTCTGTGCCTGTAGCTGCTGTTCTGTGCCTGTAGTTCTCATTCTGTGCCTGTAGCTGTCATTCTGTGCCTGTAGTTCTCATTCTGTGCCTGTAGCTGCTGTTCTGTGCCTGTAGCTGCTGCTGTGTGCCTGTAGCTTCTGTCCCATATGGGTAGTCGTCATCCTATGCCTGGCTTACACTGAGGACTGGGTGAAGACCTGTGGTTCGTACTCCAGTGGCGAACTTGTCAGCCTTCAAAGAGGAGGACATCCTGTAGACCAAAGGGTGGGCCTGTGACCTGAGCCGGCTGCTGTCCCCTCTCTTAATTCTTTGCTCTCCTGGGCAGGTCGTCTATGTCACCGCCACCTTCCCCTACATCATGCTGCTCATCCTCCTGGTGCGAGGGGTCACGCTGCCGGGGGCCGCTGAAGGCGTCAAGTTCTACCTGTACCCTGACCTCTCACGGCTCTCCGACCCCCAGGTAAGAGCTGTGTGTTCAGTGCACAGCATCACCTGCCCCCCCCCCGCCGGGACGCCCCCCTGCAGAGCCTCCGCAGAGCAGCTGGAAGCCTGCAGGCTCGTTCTCCAGAAAATAATGTCAAATGCATTGATAAGACATGTAGGCAATCAAATATAGTGAACCCCTGTTACTGGAGCCTTTTGAAAAGCAAGCTTGCGACCTGGTATTCCAGGTGCTGCTTCATTAGTACCTTACCTAGCAGGATCCAGCAGGAGTCCTGATCCAGGCTCAGCATTCCTTACCCAGAGGCCTGGCACCAGAAGCATTTTTTATTTCAGATTTTAGAATATTTTATTTATTTATTTATTTATTTATTTATTTATTTTTTGACAGACAGAATGGACAGTGAAAGAGAGAGACAGAGAGAAAGGTCTTCCTTTGCCGTTGGTTCACCCTCCACGGCTGGTGCGCTGCGGCCTGCGCACCACGCTGATCCGATGGCAGGAGCCAGGTGCTTCTGGTTTCCCATGGGGTGCAGGGCCCAAGCACTTTGGCCATCCTCCACTGCACTCCCTGGCCACAGCAGAGAGCTGGCCTGGAAGAGGGGCAACCGGGACAGAATCCGGTGCCCCGACCGGGACGAACCTGGTGTGCCAGCGCCGCAAGGTGGAGGATTAGCCTAGTGAGCTGCGGCACCGGCTTAGAATATTTTCACGTACCACAGTGAGATATCCTGGGAGTGGGACCAGGTCTAAATGCAGAATCTATTTCTGTTTCTTATATACCTAGCCTGAAGGCAATTTACATCACATTTGAAATGGTTTTGTGCATGAAATGAGGTTCCGTGGTGTGAAATTATCCATTCGTTTTGTTGTATCAGTGCTCAGAAGGTTCCGGAACTTGGAGCACTTTGGACTCCAGGTTTCAGGTGAGGGGTTCCCAGGCTGTGCCGGGGCTCCCACTGAGGACAGGACGGGGGTTTCTTGAGCAGGCGTTCCGCTGAAGCCAGGCGTTGGTGTGGGTGCCAAGCCTTGTTTGCCCACCCTGGGTCTCGGCTCTGTGCAACATGTCTCGCTGCAAGGGACTGGGGCTTTGCTGGTGACGGAGGTCTTTGTGGGGCAGCTCAAAGAGCAAATAGGCACTGGCTACCTCTGTACTGCCTTCGGGAAGGTGCTGTGGGTTCTGAATAGTGAGCCCAAGCTTCCTGAAGCAGCTACACGGTGCTTGCGAGAACGCTAAACAGGGCTGAGAACAGGGCAGCCCGGGAGCCTGGCGTCAGGCGCTCCTCCACTGAGGGTTCTGGCTCCTGGGGGGCTTTGGGAAAGCCCCCTTCCCAGAGCACAGCCCAGGCCAATGGAGAGAAGCTCTCTGGGGGAGGGCCCAGGCATCTGCGGCTCTGGCAGGCCCCCAGGCACTTCCAGTAAAGGTTTGAGTGGAGGAAGGGGCGCCCTTTGCTGCGTGGAATCTACACGTCGTCTTCAAATAGAGCTGGAGGGCTGCGAGGAATTCCGAGGCTGTGGCTGTTGTGGGAACTTGGGCAGAGGTGCTCGCGGAGGGCTCACTTGGGCAACCCAGAAGGGCCTCGTTAGGCCAGGCGGAGCGGACCGCAGAGGGGAGTGTGGTCGGTCGTTTGTGCCAGATTGCTGTGTGTGCAGGGCCTGGAGGCTCAGGCCCCGGATGCGCATCCTGAGTTGTAGGCAGATCTCCCAGGAAGAAGGAAATTAGCTCCCGACTGTCCGTCCGCCTTGCTGGCTCCAGCCCCTGACGGCAGCGGCTCAGCTGAAGAGCCAGTGTTGGTAAGCCGCTCCCCGCGTCCCTGGTCTGTGTGTTCTCCAGTCCCCGCTCTCTGCCTCAGCCCAGGACAGGTGGCCGGCTCCCTCTGCTTCTCCTGGACTTCTGTGTCCTGGCCCTCAGGGGTCCGTCAAGAGGTGCTGAGCACCCCCCCACACACACACACACCGAGTTTCTAAACCCAGCTGATCATCGGAAAACCTAGGGATGCAGCCCCCGGGGGTACCCCAGGTGGTGCCTGGGCACCTATAGCGTGAGGAGGTTCAGAGCCAGTTCTGAAGCTCTGAGAAGTTTGGGGAAACCTTCTTGACATCTGCAACCTTCGGCCCCTACACAGACACACACACACACACACAAGCACACTCATGCACACACGCACACTCATGCACACGTGAGGCTGACAGCTGCCTGCCAGCCCTTCTGCACTGGTCATGCCAGTCTCCAGCCTTCGCTGCTGGACCAGTACTTCCCTGCACGGCTGTTCTGCGGAGTGGGAGTGGGCGTCCCAGCCTGGGAGCTGGCACGTGGGCCCTCCTGCTTGGCCGCTAACCCTGAGTGACCATGGGCAAGTCCCTTCTGTCTTTCCCCTTGCAGGCCTCAGTCTGTGCACTGAGGACACGAGAGGTTGAAGTGGATCAAGGCTTTCGAAATGCCTTGAGTTCCCCATGCACCGTGCACACGGGTAGTGAACTAGAGGCTGGAGACCAAGCCCAGCCCTCGGCCTGTCCTTACAAATGAAGTTTTACGGGAACACTTCTGAGTTATTTGCCCACACACTGCCCATGGCAGCCTGAGTGCTACGAAGACAGAGGGGATTAGCTGAGACAGAAACCGTGTGCACTCGGCTCCCTGGGAGGACTCCACAGGCCTCCACGCAGTCATATCCATGAGCGCAGTTTACTTCCATGGCCAGCGAGAGCCAGACACCTGGCAGGAGTCCGGCAGGCAGACTGGAGGAATCGCGTGCAGGCTTCTCGCGGAGCCATCACTGAGCTGCAGTTGCCTGCCTGCAGGTTTCCTGCCTGGGTAAGCTGCTCAGGGCTCACTGTCCAGGTCTTTAACAGGGGCATTTTGGGGGGTGAACTGGCACTCGGACTGCGCCGTCAGCCACGCCCTTGGACTCCCCCATAAGCCCCAGTGCTGTGGGAGCAGGCTGGGCAGCAGTCCGTCTGAATGGACTTCGGGGTCCCGTGCACACAAAGCACCCGCACCACACACAGCAAGGAGCATGAGAGCCGAGTCCTGGACACCCGCCCAGAGCAGCACCGGCCTGCTGGGTGCTCTTTCCTGTGCACCTGCAAGAACACCGATATTTACCGATTGGCCTTCCCAAAGTTGGCTGACCTCTGCCCCAAGCACCTCCCAAGGCACGTGAGCCAGAGCCGACGGGCTCTGACCCCAGCTGACCCGGCTCTGCCAGTGCCGCTCTCCACCTCTGCCGCCACCTGCCTAGTCCAGGCCACTACCACCACCTCCCACTTGGAAGCCCCCGTGGTAGTCCCCCAACTGTCTTCCAGAAATGCTACTTGACCCTCCAGGCCACGCGGCCTGCAGTGTAGATCTCGCGGCCACCTGTTTGCTCCAGGCCCTTCTAGGGCTGCCTGTGGGGTTTGGAGTCACATCCAGTTGAGGGGGCTGCCTGGTGCCCCGTGCGCCTGCTCTGTGCCGCACCCCTGCCCATCTCTCCGTCTCTCTGCACGTTCATTCCAGACACCAGCCTCCAACATGCAGGTCCTTTCTGCCGCTGGGTCTTTGTACAAGCTCTTACTCTGCTGGGAATACCTCCCCCCCTGGGGCCCTCCTCGCCCACCTCGCTTCCCCAGCATTCACTCCTTCTTCTGAGCTCACTTCAAGCCTCCCCTCTCAGGCGACAGGTGCCGTGGAGACAGCCGGCGGCACTGGAGAGGGAATGGGGGTGGGATTCAGGGAGGGCTGGTTGTCAGAAGGGCTGATCTCCAGAAGACCAGATCTGTGCCTGTGATGTGTTTAACTCTGTCCCTGCTGGTCCGGAAATGTGTGAAGGTGTGTGTGTGTGTGTGTGTGTGTATGTGTTCCCCAGAAGGTGACTGATGATTGGGGCAGGGTAAGGAGAGTGACCCCAGGAGAGAACGGGAGACAGAACTCCATGGACTCTGGGGTTTAGGGAAGCTGGGGTGCATTGCACAGGGATCCCCAACGTGGCCCGGTTCCTGTGCCCTGCTGTGAATGCCCAGGCCATGGAGAAGCTGCAGGGCGGGCGCTGCTTCCTGTCCCAGCCTCCCACCCTTGGTGGCCTGGCCTCAAGGAAGGCTCCTCCCCTCCTTGGGGAGGCCAAGTCCCCTCTGTCCCTGAATGAGGATGACACGTGCACCTGCCGGCCCCAGCTGACAGGCCTGAAGATCATGTGTGATGACCCAGAGGAGGTCGGTGCAGGCCACTGCACCCAGTGAGGCCCAGTTTTTTTTTCTCATTTTTTAATGATGTGTTTATTTGAATGCGCATTATAAAAATACCCCAGGACATCAACCACACCAGAGCCATGACTTCTCCTGGCGTACGTCATATAAATCCATCTCAAGTATGTACACACCTGTACATACATAAATGCCATGCTTGTGCTAAGGGAGGTGGGTTTCAAGGGCAAGGTTAAATGCACATCACAACAGACACGGACGTGGCATAGCTAGTGCCCGTGGGAGGTGGAGCCCCACTCTGCTTGGATGACAGCCACATCCTAGGCTGGCCTTAGCACTGCAGACAGCCGAGCCCCGAGCTCAAGGCTAGAGACAGTAGGGAGAGCGGCCAGCTGGCCCTGTCTCGTCGTAGGTCAATGAGAGGTCAAGTCCTGTGGGTGCTGGCTCCTTCTCAGCAAAGTCTACGCTGTCGGGTTTTTGAATTTTCCAAATTCTAATCCTGACTGAGATTCCCCCATACTTGAAATCGCACCCTGAAGAAGAGTTTCCAGGAGGGGCCTCCAGGCCTGACTGTTGGGTGGTCTGCGAGGGTGGGCCCTTGTGTCTCTGGGGTGAGCATGAGGTCGTCAAGTTCGGATGTCCTGCAGCTCTGGGGAATGGAGAAGCGGCCGTACAGGTCCCCACGCCTCTCCGGGGGTGAGGGAGTCAGCGGGTGGGGCTTCCAGATGAGACTCAGGACATGGTCACTGCCTGGTCTGAGCCCATTGGCCCCGGGGGCTGTGCCACCTGCTCCCTCGGCAGTAAGGGTGTGAAGTTGGGGGAGGGGGTAAAAGGTCA